TGCTCTGGTGTTGAGCACAAAAACAAGTAATACTGAAGCAAGAGCAAAGCCAGCTCTGATCTCCCACCCAATAAGACCTTTCCCATTTTCGGATGGTGGCCTACACTGTGCCAGACACTCTGCAGACTCCTGGGTTCTTTGGTCTTCCTTTCTCATTGCTGGCAAATTGCAGTGTCCTTAGAAGTGGAGAGAAGGTCAGCCATGAAGTACTTCCTTGTTCCTTCTTGCTTAATCCTATTTTCCGATTGACACTTCCATGAAAATTCCCGTGTCCTTCTTGGAAGAAAGGTTATGTAAAAACCACCTTAACTATTGCATGTCGGCAACAGCTTGTGATCATCTACCATGCGGTTCTGTATTTCTTTTTCCAGATACATTGTTCACCTACACATTTAATCCCATCAGAGAAGAACGCCCTAATTCGAAGGCCTGGAAGGATGGACACAAATCCTACCAAATCTCTCAGCCTACAGTTGCTGTGAAGACATTGAGACTGGCAAAGGATTTACTCATTTTCTATCTCTTCATTTTATTTATTTTTGGGGGGGGGTCCCAGTCATGGGGCCTGAACTCTGGGCCTGGGCACTGTCCCTCAGCTCTTCAGCTCAAGGCTAGCGTTCTACCACTTGAGACACAGCGCCACTTCAGCTTTTTTTTTTCTGCTTATGTGGTGCTAAAGAATTGAAACCAGGGCCTCATGCATACAAGGCAAGCGCTCTACCACTGAGCCACCTTCCCAGCCCTATCTCGTTATTTTTATGTGTTTCTACACATTTATCATCATAAAGTAGTTGCACAAGGGACATGCAATTTTAAAAAGCAGTTTTTGAAATAAAGTTTAAAAGAACATAAAAATAGAAATAAAATTTTAAAAAGCATTTTCTGAAAAGAATTTATCCTCATCAATGTCATCCTTTAAAAATTCTCATCTATCTCTCCTCTACCCTTCCAGCCACAAAATATTCCCCATTTTTAAAATATGCATGGGATTCTTATGTGTTTTGTTTTCCCTTTTTTGCATATTTCTCTCTTTTATTTCCATATCTAGTCCTTTATTAGACAAGTCCCTTGAAATGATTGTCTGGGTTCCAGTAGGATACAAAATTTTGGTCACCTAGAGTTTGTGGAAATTATCTACAAAATAAAGCCAAATTCTGCTCTGCAGAATCATTTCAAATCCTCCATTTCCTCTGCCTTAAGAACAACTAAATACACATCGTGTTCCAGTGGCTCACTCCTGTAATCCTAGCTACTCAGGAGGCTGAGATATGAGGAACATGGTTCAAAGCCAGCCTGGGCAAGAAAGTCAGTAAGGCTCTTGTCTCCATCAAACCACATGATCTCCCTGATATATGGACAATAAATCCAAAACACAAGGCGATCTGACAACTTAAGAAACAAAAGACCTCTTCTTAATTTGTCATATTGTTTTTAGATGACTCTATGTTCTCGACCCCACAGATGGTATATAAATGCGCACATCTGAGGGAAGCTAGCAGGAGGGCACGGCATCAGAGGGAAACAGGAAAAAATACAGCAGAGGGGCCCATCAGCTGCACTGGGCATTGATGAAAAGGAACTAAGCAACTCAAAGGCAGCAATGGAAGGGAGGGACTGAGAGGGAAAGAGGGAACAGCTGATACAAAGCAAAAGGAAAGAAATGTACATATCACCTTATGTGGAAAAAATAGCTATATTTTATAGTCTATGAGCTGTATAGACCACAATAATAACCGTGGGTGAATTAAAATGCTGTGAATTTTGTGAAATTTATGTAATCAAGCTCAATTAAAAAAAATTTAAGTATGTCAACTGTTTTTTGGTTTGGGGTTTCTCTATATGAATTCCACACAGCACCCATTTCTTCCTTCCTTCCTTCCTTCCTTCCATCCTTCCTTCCTTTTTCTTTTCCTTCCTCCCTCCCTCCCTCCCT